TTTTCCTGTTCATATGGATGAAAATGTTCCCTACATTTTCGTACTTTAGATATTGTCTCTACGAAGTCAACTTTGTATAGTATGAATAATACTTAGAATATTTTTCTCGTCCAAGCTTTAATTAACTGCTTGTTGGAGGAAATAATTGAACAGATCATCTCGTATAAAATTAAATCATATAGTATGATTAGTTTAAAAATTTATAATTTTTTAACACTCCCCCAATTTGTGTGTGCACGGTTACTCAGTTAAAATCACACTCTCTCAGACTCTAAGAATATAAAAATATAAACTCCAATTATAATGAACACTAATCTAATCTGCCTTGAAGCCTTCAATAGTCTGGAGTATGATTTCCATGAAATGTTAGTAAACATAAACAATAAAAGCAATATATGTTAAGAGAAATAGTAATCAAAATAATAATATTTGGAATCATAAAAAATACATATGATATGAAAACATAGTTATGAAAACTAATTTGCAATAGCTTTGACTTGCTGTAATTATTTTGATGTTCATTTTATTAATGTACTTCCTTTATATTAGGTGATGTGTGTGATAGATTACCCATAGGTTAGGAGCGATCCTGATACTTACAATATTTTTGCAGGTGTCCATACTCATGTAGCACTAATAAAGGGGGATAAAATAATAAATCATAATTATATAATTACTTATTACAAGTGCTCCATATGCTTAGCCCCAAAAAATAAATAAGAGCATGACTAAATGTGATTGATAATGTGTATTTTATTTCCATATATAAACTGCTTGGGTTGTTTTATATTAACTTCTTAGGATAACCATGCAGAAGAGTTTAGATTTTCTTTTTTAAATGATGTAATTTGATGTAATGTATCAAGTTGTGAAAGTCTTCAAAGTGAAATATTTTAAACACTAAGTACCCAAAGGAAAAGAAGAAAGGCCCTTCATAGGAAATTTCTTATTCATTTGGGTACTCTTCTGAAGGATTAATCCTACGAAGACCAAAGGAAGATGATCCATAGAAGACTTAAAGATGAAGACTTGAAGATGAAATGCCTTGCTTGTAAGACTTGCATCATTCAGTAGGATTAAAATCCAGGTTGCTGTCGTAGGGGTCTGACCACCATAACTTTTCTGCAAACCCTGGTTGCATTATATATGACACTTGCCATGGACCTTTATTTTTACTCTGGTGATTTATTTATAATGATGTGTTTATTCTAATTGGCAGTAGAGCTTTCCTATTTTTTTTAGTTTTTTTTTTGTTTCATGTGTGTGGCCTGATTTTGCTAGGCCCTCTAAGGACTAAAATATTTTCTACTCATAATTAAGATCTAACATTTCAGAAATTAAATAACATAGAAACTTAACGAACTAGTGAATAGTCAGAATTATCCGGGGTCACATGTATATTAATGCATTTCTCTCTCATTCTTTAAGACATGTTCCTGCCTGTGAGTAGAGTTCAGATAATCTGACATATGGGATGAGGTGCTAGATTAAAAGAAGTCTAGTCTTTTCTAAAAAAATATATTTTTTTAAGCTTTTTTTAACTTTCAAGCATATCAGATTTGGAGACTTTGGATTAGCATGTATTTTATTAAAAACTAATAAAATCAAAGTTTTAGTTGCATTAGTTCTAGGAGAATTCTACCTTACATAAGTATAAGGACACTTAGGAAACTCACTATATATCGGCCTTAATTTCCATTAACTCAGCTACCCACCCATCTATCATAAAGACTGGATAACATAAATTTTATACGCTTAGGTGGTTAGTTGGCTTTCCTTTTTATGCATGATATAAGCCCCGAATGCATTAGCTAGGATATGGGTGTTAGTATTATGTGTAGAACACTAGTCCCACCTTAAATTTAGGGTTCAATACTATTACATTTGGTGTCTCATAGTACACTTCATTAGAGGGTAAGTACTCTATTCTTCAGGAGCTGTAAATCATGTCTATCCGCGCCACATGGATGACGCCACCTCCATCCTTCTCTCTCGCATGCTCTGAGTGTATTATTTATTTCTTTCCCTCCAATTTTTTATTATTACCTTAGTCCCCTCTGATGTTAGTGTGAACCGTGTATGTTGACTAAGCAAAATTGACCCTTTCTTTCCCTTTGAGTAGGACTTCCTAGTCTCCTCCTTACATGCCAAACCCATTTTAGAGGATAATGTATGATCTTTAATCGAGAGTCTTCTCAGGCCCCAGCTTTAGTTGTAATTAATTATGGGAGCTTGCGCCTATTGAAACTGAATTCCACCATTAAATAATCTCCACATGAGTTGATGTATCGGGTGGGGGAAACCCTATGATTCTGATTAGGTCGTCCATATTATTACCATTGGGGTGCATTGGTAAGAGTTGCTATCCTCAATAGTTAATCATATGTATGATCTAATCTGCCATTCCATTGGCCTTCTTGCAAAGAGCGTGAAGGTCTGCGATCATCTCATCCCTCGGGATGGTGCGGTCGTATACCCTTTGCACTCTATCCTCCGCTGAGTGGTACCCTTTTGGATGTCCACAAGTAGCATACTTCCTTAATCCTTATTTCCAATATGATAGATAAAATTATTTCAAGAAATTCAGAGTTATGTAGGGTTTAGTAGGATTGATTGGAAATAAAGACATTTTTTATAAATCTTTTTTGGCAATGAATGAGGTGAGGTTGTATTGTGATAGTTTGGAGAGTTTTGGAAGCTTACTTGCTTTAAAAATGGTGAAAGAAGTACAACCTGATATAAACTTAAGCTTATATTTTAATATTAATTTTATAAAATACATCTTAAAATTATTATTATTGTTTGAATTATAATTGAATGTTGGAAGATGTTCGGCTCTAGTGCACCAAACTTACAAAAATACCTATTTGAATTCTAAGCCAAACATCATATTCTTCTAGATGTGAAAGTAATTGGAGCATATTTGAACAAATTCATAATAAAAGGTGAAATCACTTAGAACATCAAAGACATAATAATCTTGTGTTGTATGCTATAACCTCAATTTGAGAAATAGGTATGACATTAATGTATATTGCAATATTCATCATTAATATTACATATTATATTTCATAAATATCAAGTTTTAGTTTAACTTTGAAGACTGTATCTTAAAAGGAAGAATTTTGAACCTTTTGATTTTACAAGCATTGAAATGGTACACTTCTCTATGCTTGATGAAGAGTCGGTTGTAGAACTTAATTTGGAGGACTTGGAGATAGAACTTTATAGAGAGGATGCATTTTCTCCTATTGAACATCTAATATAGCTTCAACTAGACCATCTCAAGGTATGTTTAGTATTCAAATTTAATATATTTTGCATTCATAGTTAGCTCATAAATATAACTTGAAATATGTCGGTGATGATGACAAAGTGCTTGAATTGGAGGAAGTTTGTGCATTTGAGGTGGAAGGTTTAAGTGGAGAAGGGTAAGGGGATGTATTATAGGATGTTATCAATCTAGGAGATTATTAAATTATTAGGCTTTTTGAGTTTTTAATGTTAAAATTGAAGTGAATGATTATATATGAATTTCTATTTATTTTAAACATTTGTCTTTATAACATGAATATGTTATTTGTATTGCTTCACTTATTGGGTGTTAATTTTCTTTTCATTTATACAATATCTATATTATTAAAGAAAATTTATAGGATAAATTATGTGAAAGTTCGTTAGGGATGTTAAGCTCTTGTGAACTAACCTAAGGCTAACCTCTACTATATATATATATATATATATCCCTCTCCTCTAGGCTCTCTTAGGTCAATATAGCAGCAAAAGATATTCTTTTACGTAGGACAAGAGATCTTATATAGAAGAGCTTTAGAATAGCTCTTAATTATAACAAACTAACATTATTATCGAGGACGATATAAATATAATCCTGTACGATCAGTACAGATTAAGCTCAATCAGCCAGGATGATTTGGGATGATCATAAGGTTTTTGTTCATATCATCCAGGATATAAGGATATCATCATATATGATCAGTATAAGTCAATTAATATTGTTTAGAACATCGCCCTGAATGGATGTCTGAATGATGGAAAAATAACCTGATCGTTTAGGCTGATCTTGCGATCGTCCCGAATGATTAGTTTAATTCAGTGCATATCATCCAAAGCATCACCCTGAATAGAAGCTAGTCGATGTTTGATCGTCCAGGAAAAACTAAGGTTTTTGAACTGATTGTCCCAACTGATCTTGAGATCGTCCAAGATGATATGATCGAGCAATCAATCCTTAATTACCAGATTAATTTAGACATAATTATACTGCATCGTCCAGGATGATGTCCAAAAATAAAATCTAGCTAAATAGATCTTATGACTGATTCTTTCTGATTTGAGCCTATCGTCCTGGCCGATGCGAATATCATTCAGGATGATGTGCTTAATGATGGATGTCTTAACCAAGATGCCCTAATTAGGGTTTTTATTTTTAACTGATCATCTAAGCTGATTTATGGATCATCCTAGATGATGTGACCAAAAAATAGTAAACTCTAAAAATAGTCAGAAAATTTTTCCAAAATATGTGCGTGCAAGGTTACTTAACATCATGAACCACATGTTCTACAATTGACTCAAGAAAAGGAAAATATTACAAGATGACTCAAACCTAATCTACCCAATCTTGAGCTGGTTCAAATTATAGTTTTGATCTTGTGGACTTGAAAAGTTAGTAGGCAAGGCAGTCGTAGTGAAATAGAAGTATTTGCTATCATCAAAATTTTATTCCCTGAAATCAGATTCATAATAATCTCCCCCTTTTTGATAATGGCAAACACAAAAATAATTAAAGCAGTTCAAAGCAGTTTAATATAAACAAACATTTAATTATCTAACATTAAACACAACAGTACAACTACTCTCCCTTTGACATCACAAAAGGTAGGAGGGAAACTAGAAAAGAAGTAAAATAGAGACTACCAAACAGAATCAAACTACAATAAGAAAAAAGAAACAACACCATAAAATAAACTAAAAGAAGGATGACTCCTAATCATCTGAAGGAGGAGGTGGTGGCTGCTGAAAGTAACTGGAAAGAGTGGAAAACTGCTCTCCAAACTAGGCCATATCCTGGTCATGCTGGTGTTGCTAGTGATCCACGTAAGCATCAAAGTGAGCAACATCCTCAGCATGTTATTACTCCTATGCAGCAATGTAGGTCTCAAATTATGTCTCCCACTAGTCGAATCGCTCCACCAGCTGATCCAGCTGAGAGTGTTGGCAGAGCAGAGCATATACAAGAACAGGTGCAGGAGCTGCCACCTCCTAAGCTCCCTTAGCTTCCTCGTGCCCCGGGTAGAGATGGGTACTGTGAAGAATATGGAAGGAGTTATTTGAGTAGAAGGCAGGTTAAAAATTTGGAGAGGCATGATATTATAGGTTGTATTTGGATTCTAGGACATAGGCAATGATATGTCCTAGGGCAAGATTGTGCTTCCTCCTATGTCCTGGATCTCGAATACTAGTCAGATGCTCAATGTATTGAAAAACGAAATAAGAGGCATTAAATTCATGATGGGAAAAAATGTAGAAAGTGGTGATCGAAAAGAGTGGAGTGATATGAATGCGATCACCAACTTTTGGAAGAATAGAGGTGTGAAGGATATGTTAGATTATCCTACCATGTTTGAGTAAGTTGCTAGATTTTCCAATATACAAGGAAGAATTAGTGTTTCTTAGAAAGTGGTTGGCTGGTGCCTAGTCGTAGTCAGGATCTTGACACAGGATATGGAGCTTATCTCATGTGGTAGACAATTTCAAGAGTTCTTGACAGTCCTGATATGTGATTTCGCCTGGACGTCTATTCATATAGGACTGAAGAGAAGTAAAAGAGGAATTGATGTGAAGGCTAGCGAACAACTCAAATAGTAACTCCTAATTAAAAGGGATGGTAAGAGTAAGGAGGAAAGTGAGAGTAATGTGAGCGAATAAATCAAGGATAGGATATGAAAGGATGTGGGGGTGGATAGTTCAAGAAATAGTGATACTGGCCATCTTGTACCTCTGATAGGTGGCTTGATTGGCCACTTCAGTGAATTGAGGGTCCAGATTTTCCCTCGAGGAGCTTCTAGAAGGCATGCGAGACCTCTTTACACCAGCCATAATAGGGAAAACAGAAGGGCAATAAGAGCAAAGAGGGTTGAAGAAAGATTGTGTGAGAAAAAATTAATTTAATGCCTCAATTTTTAAAGAAATGATCCGACCGTCTAGGATGATCATAGAATTATCTAGGATGATTGGGTGCAATAATTATGTTCAGGATGATTGGTAAAAAAGGCGGTAAAGTCATCCAGGATGATCAGAGATCGTTCGAGACGATAATACACATGTGATCATTTCGAGGAGTCAAGCCAGATGACCGTTAAAAAGAAGATCATTATGGCCAATTAGGTGTATCATCCAGGATGATGTGCAATAATGGATTATACAGGCCAAATTTAGAATGCTTAAAGCATAACCACATGTATCGTCTAGGACGAACAGGTGTATCGTCCGGATCGATTACCAATAATTGTGTAGAAATTGTGAAGATCATCCATGATAAGGAGGATTGTCCAGAACGATCACAAAAAATTGAAGTAGAAGTCGATTAGATTGTCCAGGACAATAAAGGATCATCCAGGATGATAAATGATCGTCTAGGATTTTTAGAAGCAGAAGAGTCAAAATAGCCGTCAGATGGAATTTCAGAGTGAATGGAATATATCGTCCAAGATAATATCAATATTGTCTGGGACGATGTGATAAAAAGTTTGAAATCAAAAAATGGATTGAGATGATCAGAGAGGGCCCAAAAAACATAAAAATCAATAAAAAGATAAAAATAAAATCTAAAAAAGATAAAAACAAAAATTAAAAGGAATGAAATAACAAAGTTTTTTTTAATCAAAGCTAGAATATGATAAATTTTTCATGTAATTGAATTAAAAATTTATAAGAATTAATGAGTTAATATCATTGAAATTCGGAAAACAGTAAAACAATTGATTCTGTTAACCCTAGCTCAAACTTCTCCTAGGGCAAACCGTCTTTTGAAAACAAAGGTCTAAATAAGAAAAATCAATTGGATAAGAAAAAGAGATCCATTCAAAACTTGGTTCCAGAAAAATATTTTAAGTAATTAGTCACAAGCATAAATTTTGAAATCAAGCGCTTGAAAAATATTAAGTGACACTTGAATTCTTCTAAGATTTAAAAAATTTGAAAGAGAAGGCAGCTTATTTTTGGTGGGCTCATTTTATGCCTCTTGTTAATTGATTGACACTCTTTACTCGTCTTTTAATTTTTGATACACTTTGTGTATATATTTTTTTTTTCAATTTGGCATCATTGCGTATCTTTTGATTTAGCGTCATTTACCACTTTTTTTATTTATTTTTTGCAAGCTAGATCCCTTTTTCAAAATTCTTAAATATCCTCAGTTGTGATTATATCTTTCAGATATTAGAGAAGAAAAACTCACTCTCTAATATAAGGAAGAATGAATCACAAAATATAATAAAAAATCATATGATAAATACAACGACAAGATTATAAAAAATCTGAAGGTAATATAAAGACTTTAAACATTATATATCTAAGATAGATTATTGTAGCAAGATTAAAAAGATCTCAATTGCAAAGTCCAGTTGTTAATTTGAGATAAACTTTTATTTAGAAAAGAAAATTATACTACTAAAAAGAAGTTAGAGGAAGAGAAATAATCAACGGTGTTTTCTTCCTTTAACAGATTAAGAGATGTAAAATATTGACTACAAATTTTCAAAAAACAAAAATAGGGCATAAAATATCATTTCAGCAGTGACCAAGAAAGAAAAACTAATAAACAAAAAGAAAAATAACCGAGATGAAACAACTATAAAATAACAGCATAAATAAAAAACTAACTCAAAATTAGAATAGAAAGAATATAAAATAACAACAATCAACAGAGTAGTAAACATGCAAATCAAAATTTATTAAGCAGCAAGTTTATGCAATTAAGAGCCGCGAGCCTTCACTATCCAAGTATCACATGCTCTCACGAGGATTATGGTGAGAGCACACCTACAAAATCCTCAAATGTTAGATTTAGGAACTCAAATAGGTTTGGGTCCCTTCTTACGAAAAGAAGAATGCAATGCATGTGTGTTATGTTATGAATCATGCAATTTGGGTCTCCATACCCAATGTGTACTATGGTGAATAGTATAAGTGTGCGAAATATGTCCTAACATGCCACATGAAAAACATCTAACTCTAGGAAATGAATTTACTAATCTATTCGGATTATAATGCCTCTTCCTAGGTTTTGGCTTTAGATCAAGTGTGGATGTATTCCAATTTCTCTCAAGTGCATTCAATTTAGCTTTAAACCTCAAGTTAACACTTTCTAAAATAGGATTATCAATATTCAACTAGTGCTCCTTATGCTCAAATTCTTTAATATAAATTTTAAAATCAGATTCAAGTGAGATGTAGGATGCTTTTAAAGAATCATGCTCAACAATCAATTCATAATACTTTTTATTCAATTCATCAAACTCATCAAGTAATGACATGTGATTGCTATCAAGTTGAGTGTGTTCTTTACTTAAAATTTCATGCTCTTTTTGCAAATTCAAAAAGTCTAATTTCAAACTAGCATGCAATTTCTTAAGTTTCTTATATGATGCATGAATTTTCTCACAAATTTTAAGTAATTAATCATAGGTTTGTTCACATACCTCTTCTTGATCAGGCTGACCAAGATGATCACCCATCAAGCAAAGGTTTATTATCTCCTCTTCAGCTTCAGTCTCAAATGAGTCAGATATAGAATCCGCCCAGAATGCCTTTTAGTACTACTTCTTCTCCTTCCTATATTTGGGTTTCTCCTCACCTTTCTCTCTGCTTGAGTGATCCTTAGGTGTAGGACAATCAGCTTTGACATGTCCAGGCTGCCTGCATTCATAACAAATAGATCAGAAGAACTTTTAAAATTTTATATCCTTACATTTTTTCCACTTATGAAGATATTTGTTATTCTTCCTTAGAAGACTTTTGAATTTCCTACCGATGAAGGCAACATCATCGCTTTAAGATCCAGAAGAATCAATGTCTATATTATCGGCCTTCAACATCATAATTTTCTCTATCTTTATCTCACCTGCATCAAGGTTTCTTTGATTCACCCCTTGCTCGTAAGCAATGAGTGATCCAAGTAAATTATCAATAGAATAAGTATTCAAATCTTTAAATTTAGTAATTTTAGTGATCTTAGCATAAAAAGAAGAAGGCAAATATCTCAAAATTTTATTTACTCTTTCATAGTTAGTTAGCTCTCTTCCTAAAGCATGCAATGAGGTGACAATTTGAGTGAACCTAGTATACATGTTAGAAATTTATTTAGTAGGTTTCATACAAAAAAGTTTATAGTCATGCAACAAAATATTCAACCTAGATTATTTAACTTCATTGGTTCCTTCATAAATAATACACAATCTATCACAAATTTCTTTACCAGTTGTATAAGTTGAAACACGTTTATAATCTTCAAATTTCAAAGCACAGAAAAAATAGTTTAAACATTTTACATTAAGTTGCATTAAATCTTCTTTATCAAAAGTCCATTCAATAAAACGAAGTTCAGTTTTAATGCCATTAATTTCACGAGAAGGAGGTGTATAACCATCCTAAACAAGCATCCACATGTGATAGTCAATCAATTGTAAAAACGTAGGCATGCGAGTTTTCCAATAATCAAAAGGAATATTATCAAACAAAGGTGGACAAGTAATAGAATAACCTTTCGTAGTATTATGATTACTAAAGTTAGTCATTGATTGAAATTCAAAAGTATTCAAAATCTCAATTTTATGAATACCTCTCTAATACCACTTGAAAGTTCGATAGGGATGTTAAGCCCTTATGAACTAGCCAAAGGCTAACCAAGAGGGGGAGGGGGGGTGAATTGGTATTTAAAAAACTCTTTAATCAAAATAAAAACTTAAACCAAAGTTCACCACAAGGAAATCAAAGTGTGGAAATTAAATTCGGAAGCAGTAATAAAGAACACAGAGATTTATAGTTGTTCGATCAACTCGACCTACGTCCACTCCCCGAAGGAGCCCTATGAGTATTGCACTAAACTAAGTGACTCTCCTTTTTCTCCCATAGCAAGGCAGAGAAGCCCGTATAAACCTTCTTTTCACCAACCCCGATGAGGCAGAGAACCCAACTCCTTTTGCTTCTTCCTAAAGAAGGCAAAGAACCTCAACTCCTTTTG